GATGTAGTTAGGCAATTAAATATTCACAATGTAAATTTATTACTATAATTGAAGGTGAGTCAGGTATAATTATGTTTTTATAAAACAAGTAGCCCCACCCCACCACCGAAGACCAATTTCCTAGGGGACACACTGGTACATCTCCCTCATCTCCCTCTCAAACATACCTGGCAGAAAGCAGCCTCAGCCCAAAGTCCAGGCTTTCTCCATGAATTTCTTCCAAGGAGACTTTGTGGCTCARAGGGCTGACAGGCAATGGACGATCTTCCTCCAAAGCAATGGGGAAATCCTCCACAAACCTGCTCAGGAAGCACCGGCACAAGGTCTCCTCCTCCATCTCAGTCATTTTCAGGTCAGGTCAGCACTCTGGTAAACAGTGAATTATAAAGCTTACTCACCAAGCATAGTTTGTTTGAAAAAACTTCAAAAAGACATGTAAACGGGTCAGTGAAGGTGAAAATCCAACACCCACCTTGTTTTCAAATTGCATATCCAGCAAAATATGTTAGAGATATAAAAACCAGGTACATCTTATTGAAATCCTTTAAAAATAATGGTAAATTGTTTTAGCAATGGTTTTTAGTGAGTTTTAAAGGTGCTGCTTTGGAAAAGCTGTTACATTCCATATATAGGCCGAGACATCAGGTGAGTCTCGCCCTCAAGCAGACAGCTTTCTAATACAAATCAACTCATCTTTCTTATTAAGCTGACATGTTGCCCAAGTCTGCAGTACACCTGAGGAGGGAGATAATATCCATTATCTCACCAAAAACTACAACCTTCACACACCCATGGCACAGTGCCTCAGGGAGAGCTGATGCCTCTCATCAAGAAGGTTGCCGGATCAAATCTCGGCCCGGGGACCTTTCTGGGTAGAGTTTGCATGTTCTCTCCGTGCATGCGTGGGTTTTCTCCGGGTACTCCTGCTTCCTCCCACAGACCAAAAACATGACTGTTAGGTTAACTGATAACTCTAAATTGTCCCTAGGTGTGAGTGAGAGAGTGAATGGTTGTTTGTCTCGTTTGTCTCTATGTGTGTCTCTGTGATGGACTGGAGACCTGTCCAGGGTGTACCCCGCCCCTCACACTGTGACTGCTGGATATGGGCACCAGTGACTCACGTGACCCTGAAAGGAATAAGCGGGTATGGATGAATGAATGAATGAATGAATGAATGAATGAAAGAGGCGTTCCGGGCCCCTCCTACTGGGAGGAGACCCAGGACAGGCTGGAGCAGTGGTGGTCAGGGCTGCAGCCCTTCTACTTGTTTCTCTGCGCCAACTCACCTGATTTGAATGAATGGGTGATTATCAGGCTTCTGCAGAAGAAGAGGTAATCCACTGACTGAATCAGGTGTGTTGGAGCAGGGAAACAGTAAAATTTGCAGGGCTGTGGACCTGGAGGACCAGAGTTGGCCAACTCTGCGCTGGAGGGACTTTCAGGCTGGCATAGAAATGTCTCGGGGTTCCCCCAAATAAGCTGGTCAGGGCTGATAGTAATCCAGCACCGGTCTGGCTTACCTCCCTCCAGGAAGAGAAAAAATTAATCAGGCTTGCCCAGACAAATATTTTAACCAGCCTTATCATAGAAGCAGCCTTTCACTTTAAACACACTAGACAGGACTACTAGCCAATCAGATGGAGGCGGGACTTGAAGATGGCCAGAACTTTGATTCAGATCCAGCAGAAGTTGTAGCTCAAAATAAAATGAGTTTCTTTGTTAGAACAAGAAAGAAAAGAACTGGAAACAATATTGAAGCTGGCAGATTTAAAAAACCAGCAGAAAGATGTTTACAGATTCCTCCACCTGAGAGAGACGAGCCTCGCAGATGAATGCTTAAGGCTCCTGCATGCTGCTGCCAAACTGCCGAAATCGTGCCAAACTGTCGCAGTTTTATGACGAAAATTGCATCACTTCTGTTCGCTCGTMGGCATTTCGGCATTTCTTGTYGCAACCCACGGGTTGAACTTTTCATCCCCCTCCACATGAGAACACATACGAACTGTGTGGTGTGATTGGTCAGAAGTTCCTGGGAGTTTTGTTTGTGCTGAAGGCGGTCAGACACTGAATTTGCTTCAACCACTCGCTTCAAAAAAAGAAAGGAAAAAAAAGAAGAAAAAAAGCGATCGCTTCCAGGAAGCAGCAATTTAAAGATAGTCAAATGGCCAAAAACTCATAAAAAGGGGATAAAACAGACATTTTTCACAGTGGAATCTGACTGATAAAAACTTTGGAGCTTATCTGGGACCAGTTTGTGGATAAACAACGTCGAGTGGAAGAGCCGCGGACTTTTTTTTTTCCCGCATTGGACTCCCCCAGGGAAGGAATCCCATGCAGTGACGTATGCTGGAGCGGGAGGGGTTTACCAGCAGCTCGGCTCGGGGTGTCTCGGGAACTATGAAAGGTCAGTGCGAAAACGAACTCCGAACAACCACGTGACGGTGCGTCGACCGGTCGACAGCCGTGCGAGCATACTACCAGCTTTAGTTAGCTGAAGAGTAGCAGACAGGTGGAGCTGTGAAGAAAAGAGAAGAGGCATGGCTTTAATCACAGTGACCCGGGACCAACAGGTGTGTGTTTACTGACAGAAACTGAGTCAGGTGCTAAATGTTGACTGTCCACCACTGTGCAGGAGTGTACAGACTGTCTCTGTTATAACTGGCTGTTTGTTTCTTTACTTCTTGTTTACTTCCTGATCATGCCTGATCAGGAAATCTGTGATCCACTCAGTGGGTCTAGTAATCAAACTGTGAACATGAATTMATCTAAAATGATTGACAGCTACTTGAAGCGCGGCTTGATGTTAGAGCAACAGATTACAGCTGTTTACAAGTTGAAGGCTTGTTCAAGCTCAGCTTACAGCTCAGATCCTGGATTTATAAACCTGACTTTGTRAAACGAGCTCCTGGTCTGGACCAGGTTAAGGCTGAGTCACACAACAAGATTTTAAAATAGTCGGCCGACTTTCAAAGACTGATAGAGCCCACACTTGTGGATAAAAAATCATGGATATACCAGGTTTGGTCCTACAGTGTGTGGTGAACAGTCACACGGCAAGAGACAACACACAAAAAGATATTTCATTCATGAACATGTCAGATATAAAATCATGCGAGACTTCCCGAAATCTCGCGAGAATTCAGGTGTCCAAGGAAAAATCTCACGTGACCTCCAGAGACATGAGTTCAGAGTAAATAAACATTTGTGGCGAGGAAGTAACAATTTTGATAGTTTGTGGACTATTTTTACCAGAAGAAAAACAATTCCATGCGACTTTTAACATCCAGTGGACTTTCTGGTGAGTTATATTTTGTATTTTGTATTTGGATTCCTCTCCGTGTTTACGTCACCTCAATTTCTGATTGGCTACACATCTCATTCATCAGGCTGAGAGCTCGGGTGAACACTACACACACTGTGATATCGGGCCAAAAAAAAATCAAACATGTTGAATATATCCGATTTGAGGTCGGAGCTGTCCTTCCGAGCCGACTCACTCTTACTCCATGGCGGGAATATCTGCTATGATTATCTTTAGAGCCATCACGATGATCTGGACTTCCTTAAAGACCGTGTAAAGTAAAAATAAATGTGTGTTCTGAGGTTGTAACACCACAGAAATAGATGTTAATAATCACCCAGCCAAGTTTGAACAATTAAAAATACTGTTAACCTTATAAAATTATGTGTTAAAAGTAGGGCTGTGTATTGGCAAGAATTTGGCGATACGATACATATCATAACAGAGGGGTCACGATACGATATATCCCGATATATTGCGATACTGTAAGCAAGGCAATATATTACGATATTTGCGATTTTTTTGTCCAAAAATTCTATTTAAAAAAAACCTCTTACTAGAATATCGATACAGTATTGGGAAATGAAATATCGCGATATTTCAGTGTATCGATATTTTATTACACCCCTAGTTAAAAGTAATGAAAAAATATCAGTTAGCTGTGGTCTGGAATGCTGGGGGCGTGTCCACTGGAGGAGCTCAAACCACGCCCACGACCCTGAACATTCCTGTAAACGAGGAAACAATGTTTATTTTTTTCCATTAGAGCAACAGGGGGTGGGGTTATACTGAAGGCAGCTGTGTGACATCACGAGGCTGCCCTTTAAGACACGCCCAAAAAATCCTGAAACACAGATACCTTGTTACACAAATTGAATCGTATCTCCACTATTCAAATATCTACAGTTGAGAGAATTTGTACTCATTTACAACAATCCATTTATGACATTTATAATGTTTTAAAAAGAAAATGTTACATTTTACTTTACACGATTTGCTTGTAGTGTGACGCCGGCCTTAGTTTCAGGAAACATAAATTCTTCCCCTCCCATGCAACAGATACAAGGCTTTATTAATTCAGGTTTACACGGAGCAGAGCAATCAAAAATACTACAACTAAAATACAGAGCTAATACATGAACCCAAACAGAAAACGCAGATCCTGATAGTTTTTTAGACAGAAACAATAAAACTGTGTAGTAATAAGTTGTTGTGTCTGGATTAATTTATATCTTGTGTGAAATATAATCATTTTAACCCTAAACTGCACAATTCTTGGGACCTTTCAGCAGAACACGTACATCAGAAAGACCCTTTTTAACCTTATAAACCTTTAAAACGCAGGACCCCCGTGCGCCCACCAAGGCGTTGTCACGAGCGGCCCGCATGCCCCATCGGTCCACTTCTCTCAATAAACAACTCCCCGCTCAAAAAACAAGATATATTAAAGAAATGATCCTGGCTTCGAGCCTGACACTGAATTAATACTGTAGACAAAAACTGATATTATCAAGATCTGGTGTTTCTTCTAACCGAACCAGAACTGCACAGTACCAGTGATGGCTGTAACCATCATGGGCAGAGACCGTTAACCATGGGTTAGAACCATGGGTTAGAACCATGGGTTAGAACCATGGGTTAGAACCAAGGGTTAGAACAAGTGCAGTGTTGCTTGGGTTGCTGAGACTTTTTCCTTTTGCATTTCTACGGCAAACAACAGGAGAATAACTCGTGGGCACAGTGCACTCATGTTAGAGCACGTAGCGTGGGCTAAAGTGTTTAAAGTTGCTCTGTTTATACGAACTTTACAAGGTTGACTGCTTAACTGTGCATAAAACACTGGTTATCAGTCGGGTTGAAGTTTCCAGACAACAAAAAGTTCTTTAGGTCTTACCGTGGGTCTGAACACGTCTGTGGACACCGCTACACGGGAGATGAAAACACAGCTTTGAGCAAGACAAAAGAGTGCCTTTYATTAACGCACGTCCAGACAAGTCTTCGCGAACGCGTAAAATCCGAACGTGTACTATCAAGCGTGTTTAGAGATCAGCGGAAATATTCACTTTCTATTGGACAGTCATGTCGCTAACTTCCGCTATGTGCTACATACCTCATTGGCTGGACTGGATACCCTGCGGAGTCACGCTGCCTATTGGAGCCGATCGGGAGGCGTGTCGCTCGGGTACCGCAAGCTGCAGCTAGACTGGACCCTTCTCAAGAAGAAGGCGGCTCGTGCTGAAACCGGAAATAAATGCTATGAGTTCCGGGTTAGCCCTCAGCTAATAGTTTTTAGCAGCTGTCCGTTTTATAAGTTGATGCAAAGGGAAACAAACGGAGGGTTCTTGAAGATCTCGTTGAAGCTTTCRTTTTGAAAATGAGAACCGTTTTGATGGTTGCAGAGAAACCATCCTTGGCTCAGTCGATTGCCAAAATCCTCTCCAAAGGTAAGAAATTAAATTGATGCTAWATTTCAAGGTAATGAGAGCAAGTGAAAACTGCATTTAATTACAAAAAAAGTCTATAAGTGTAAAGATAAACATAACATCTGAACACCGTAGCTTAATTAACTTAATAAAATTGTCAGTACTGACCAATGAAACATTTTCATTTAATTAGGAGTGTACTAATATAATGTTACAAATTACAGTTTGGTGTTCTTAGGACTGAAAACATTCTGAGGAAAGAGGTTTTAAACAGCTCTTCTGTTATTTTAGTSTTTTCAACKGAGGAGCTTTGAAATATTTATGAAAAAGATTATAGCACGAGGTTTTCTGCACAGAAAAAAGTCCTGTATTTTCTTTAACCAAACTGACAAGTTTCCCCAGTAAAATGATTGTGTAATTTAAAGGTATTGAAACACCTGTTTAAGTTTAACCAGACTGGTTAGTCTCCATAGATCAGTGGTTCTTAACCCTTTTTGAGGTACCGAACCCACCAGTTTTGTATGTGCATTCACTGAACCCTTTTTAGTGATAAATAAAATATGATTTTTTTTTCCAAATTCAAGACATAGGTATATGTATTTATTTATTTATTTATTTTTTACTGGTGTATAAAATGAGCCGTGCATGAACATCACCTTGCTCAAAGAACAAAACCAACAGTACATGA